TCTTGAGCCACAGATCGACACGGGACAGTCACGTGACAGCAGCATCCCCAGTCACACCTGTGCGTGGGCTGCTCGAAGTGACACATGCTACAAATACGGGCATTCCTAAACGGGTTCAGGGCTGATAAGAGATCCGAAGGGTGGAATGTGTAGAAGCTCCACATATCTGGGCCTATAAGGGTCACTCGATTATCCAGACATCGCAGCGTGCAGCTGCAACTTGGCTCGTGTTTCGTCAGCACCACATCGAGCTGTCGAGCTGGTTGCTCAGAAAGAACATGCATTGGAATGCTGAGGGCTTCTGTCAGGTGAGAAGCTTGTTGCTTGCTGCTTTTGAGTCATGCAATGGCAGCTCGGCGCCGCGATCTGGCCTCGGGCAAAGATTGGAGCTCACTCAGGGGATACTTGAAGGTTCATGGGAAGCTACGAATGCTATAAGAGACCTAAGTTAAGCAACCCAACCTAGATTCCGAATGGAACCTGTAGAAAGAAATGGGAGCTCTCACTCAAGGGATACTTGAAGCTTCCCGGGTCGCGTTGAACCTCGACCGCGAAACCCCTCAGGACTTTTGGCTCAAGGTCGCTGTGGAATTTAAGAGGAGTCTTGGTCCGGGCAGCCAGGCACATACATACAAAACAGAGCGCCCAGGTGTCCTCACAAGCTCAGTTCCGACACCCGCTCTTCGACTTCTGGTGCTTCGTAGGGGTTTCGGGGTGTGGAGAGGTGTGGAGGGGTGTGGAAATAGGGTTGACTGTGGTGTAGAAACAAACTGTAAAGCTAGACTAGACCCTCAAGCCCCCCAAACCTTGTACTCCGCTCCGCGAGCATTTGCGGGCACGCTCCCTAAACCCTCAACCCTAACCGTACCCTTAACCCGAAACTCCAAACCCTAAACCCTCATCCTTTTCTGAGGCGAGGGCTTCTCCACTGAATTCCTGGCGGCTGTTGGGGGCTTAGGGCCTGGGGGCCTAGATTGAGGGCTGGAAGAGCACGGGTGAGCGTTTCAAGGGAAAGTTGCGGATTTAGGGTTACGCAACGGCTGGCAAGTGTGCGCCCTGCAAACAAACGACTGTCCGCGTCCTACTGCCACAGATGCTGCCTCTCCTGCTACTGGACCGGGTTCATTTGTGCAGGAACAGCTCAACAAAGGACACTGCCCAGCTTCTGCAGCCGGCGACTGTTTGAAAGCTGTGGCTTGCCCTAAACCCGAAAACCCTACATCCTAAGCTACCTTAAACCCACCGAGATGCGGCCAAGGTGCAATGAGCAGATATGGCACACTGGTCAGGTGGCAATGAAAAGAGCTGTGGGGCTTGAGCCCGTGAACAGCGAGTCGTCAGGGCTCTTTCTTGGGACTGGGACTGCGAACCCCTCCGGAGGACCCAGCGCCATGATGCCTGAGCCTCACGATCACACGGAACGACAGCCTGCGGCCCCAAAAAAAATAGAGGAAATGTAGGCCAGCATGGGTGGTTTGAGGGTGTAAGTACGAGTAGGTAGGGCAATGGCTTGCAGCTGCAATGAGCTGGGTTCTCAGCACTGCGACACATCAATTTCTGGCGGGTGCCCGGACGGCAGTCCTTCGCTAGGCGAAGTGTCCTCATGCATGATGAGACAATCGACGGAGGGAGGGCTTTGTCACCTCTTCTACGATTCTAACTCCAGAAACTGCGGCCCCAAAATAAACAATGTGCAGGAATGCTGGTCATTTGAGGGTGTGGGTAGGAGGTAGGGCTTGCAATGGCTTGCAGCTACAATCAGCTGGGTCTCACAACTGCGACACATCAATTTCTGGCGGGTGCCCGGACGGCAGTCCTTCGCTAGGCGAAGTGTCCACATGATGACACATTCGACGGAGGGAGGGCTTTGTCACCTCTTCTACGATTCTAACTCCAGAAACTGCGGCCCCAAAATAAGCAATGTGCAGGAACGCTGGTCATTTGACTATGTGGGTAGGAGGCAGGGCTTGCAATGGCTTGCAGCTGCAATGAGCTGGGTCTCACAACTGCGACACATCAATTTCTGGCGGGTGCCCGGACGGCAGTCCTTCGCTAGGCGAAGTGTCCACAGATGAAACAATCGACGGAGGGAGGGCTTTGTCACCTCTTCTACGATTCTAGCTCCAGAAACTGCGGCCCCAAAATAAGCAATGTGCAGGAACGCTGGTCATTTGACTATGTGGGTAGGAGGCAGGGCTTGCAATGGCTTGCAGCTGCAATGAGCTGGGTCTCACAACTGCGACACATCAATTTCTGGCGGGTGCCCGGACGGCAGTCCTTCGCTAGGCGAAGTGTCCACAGATGAAACAATCGACGGAGGGAGGGCTTTGTCACCTCTTCTACGATTCAAACTTCAGACTCGTTCGAACTGCGTCCCTTCTCAGGCATCGGGCCGTCGCCGTGGCCCGCGACTTCTGGCGTAGCTTCAGCCAAGGTCCTGGAATGCGTCAGCTTACGCAAGATGGCTGCTTCATGCTTCATGCTTCATGCTGAGTGAAAACACTGCGACATGAGTGCATTCAGAGAGGCCTGCAGGAATGCTTGCGCCGAGACTCCTCCCTTACTGGCGCCACTTTCTCGTTCCCTTTCCCTTGCCGTGACCTTTTGATCCTTTCCCTCGCCCCTTCCCTTGCGGGCCACGTGGAGGGCGGGGAAGCAGCGTGGGAAGGGGCTCCTGGGAGGAGGTCGCGACATCTGTGATATCGCACTTTGGGGGCTCCTCCGAAAGGTCTGCCCAGCGGGGCTTGTGCGTGCTTGGCTCCTTGGAGGGCGCCGGATGTGCCGTGGGCGGTGCTTCAGGAGCCTGCAAGGGCGCTTGCATGGGAGGGAGTGGTGGTGGGAAGTGCGCTGGTGGTGGTGGCGGAGGCATGGGCATGGGTGCTTGGGGAGCGGGAGTCCAGGCAGGAGTTGCCGGCTGGTATTGAGGGCATGGCATTGGATAGAATATGGGTGGAGGCATGGGTGCATACGGTGCCTGGTTCACAGGCATCCAGGCGGTTGCCGGGGCAGGCTGGTAGCACAGCCCCTGCCCAACGGCATAGCTCATTATGGGTGGGGGCACTGGGGAAGCTGGTGCCCAGTAACACTGCTGGAGTGGCCACTGCTGGAACTGCTGGAGTGGCCCGGGCGGCCAGGGGGCCATGGGATGGGCGGTCTTGGCCCAGTGATCCGCTGGAGGCGCGAGGCCTCCGCGATAGTTTGGCCCATAAACAGCCTGCTCACCTACAAACGCAGGCGGCAGCTGAACGATGGTTGTGGCCATGACTAAATAAATGGTCAAGCACGTCACGAGTTGTTGGATGTCTTGAGCCACGGGACAGTCACGAAGTGACACTAGCCTGTAAGAGAGTTCAGAAGCGTGGAATGTGCAGAAGCTCCACATATCTGGGCCTATAAGGGTCACTCAATGATCCAGACATCACACCGTGCAGCTGGGTGCAGCTTGGCTCGTGTTTCGTCCGCACCACATCGAGCGGTCGAGCTGGCTGCTTAGGCAAAACGTAGTGGTCCTGTTCAGCACTGGAAATGCTGAGGGCTTCTGTCAGGTGAGAAGCTTGCAGCTTTGTCGAGCTATAGCACTGCCGTTCAGCAGAGCTCGCAGCAGAGCTCGGAATCTTGGAGGACAAAACGTCTTATCTTGCCACCCATCGTCAACAGAACAGATCTGCATTGTTGGACCTCGGGTAAGGTGTCCGCGTGCGTTTGTGTGAGTGTGTAGATGAGAATTTTTGAAGCGAGTGTATGATCTTACTTCTGAGGCAACTTCAAGCACTCATCAGGCAATGGCAGCTCGGCGCCGCTATCTGGCCTCGGACAAAGATTGGGATACTTGAGGTTTCATGGGTAGCTACACATGTTATAACTAAGGCAACCTGTACTATCAATTTAATAAAGGTACTTAGAACCCTACCTAGGTTTATGGGTACCTACTAGAGATATAAATCAGGCAACCCAACTTGTATGACAAAATGAACCTTCTAGTGAGAAATGGGAGCTCACTCAAAGGATACTTGCAGGTTCACGGTTCGTTGCAGGGGAAAGAAGTCTTGAAAACCCTTCATCGTGGGTTTGATCAGTTCTGTTCGGATGAGCGTTGAACCTCGACCGCGAAACCTCGCAGGCCTTTAGGCGCAAGGGCGCTTTGGAATTTGAGAGGAGTTTTGGTCAGGGTGGCCAGGCGCCTACAAGACAGGTCTACAAGTGCCATTCACAAGCTTAGTTCCGAACCCGGCCTTTTTCGACTTAGTGTTTCGGTCTTGAAGACGCCCCAAGCTGGAAGTCGAGTCCCTCTTCTACAAGTCGAACCTGCAGGGTTGCGAGGCCGCTCCCCTCAAACCGAACGGCCCGAGCCCGGTGCCCTCCCATCAAACTTCGGCTGAGGTTTTAGGGTTTAGGGTTTAGGGTTTCGGGGTTTAGGGTTTAGGGTTTAGGGTCCATGAAGCTGCCGCGTACTGCTGGTGCTTAGTAGGGGTCGGGGAGGGGGGGGGTGGAGGGGTGTAGGGGTGTAGAAACAGGGATGAATGTGTTGTAGAAACAAACCCGTAATGCTAGACCCACCAAAAAAGGGTTGCCCTAAACTCAAACCCTCCTGAAGGCGCTCGTTCGCTCCCGAAACCCTCAACCGAAGCCCGTAATCCGAAACTCCAAACCCAAAACCCTCATGCTTTTCTGAGGCGAGGGCTTCTCCACTGAATTCCTGGCGGCAGTTGGGGGCTTGGGGCCTGGCGGGCCTAGTTGGGGGGCTTGAAGAGCACGGGCGAAAGCTCTAAAGGAGAGTTGCGGATTGAGGGTTGCGCAACTGCTGGCGAGCGTGCGCCCTGCCAACAAACGACTGTCCGCGGTAGAACAGATAGCGACGCACTTAATACCGACTTCGTATGCTGCTTAGATTTTGCAGCAGGATGCAGCAGGCGATTGTTTTCAGTTGCGGCTTGCCCTCAACCCTAAACCCGAAACCCCAAACCCAAAACCCAAAACCCGCCGAGATGCGGCCAAGGTGCAATAAAGCAAATGTGGCCGGCACTGGTCAGACCGCGGTGAAAAAAGCTGAGGGGCTTGAGCCCGTGAACAGCGAGCAAAGCACACAGAAGCCCCGCTGGGCAGACTTGTCCGAGGAGCCCCCTCCGACAAGTCTGCCCACCGGGGCTTGTGTGTGTTTTGCTCCTTTGAGGATGCTGGATGTGCCATGATGTGCCGTGGGCGGTGCTTCGGGTGCCTGCAAAGGCGCTTGCGTGGGAGGGAGTGGTGCTGGGAAGTGCGCTGGTGGCGGTGGCGGAGGTATGGGCATCGCTGCTTGGGGAGCGGGAGTCCGGGCAGGAGTTGCCGGCTGGTTTTGAGGGCATGCCATTGGAAAGAACATGGGTGGAGGTATGGGTGCATATGGTGCCTGGTTTACAGGCATCCAGGCGGTTAACGGCATAGCTCGGGAAGCTGGTGCCCAGTACCACTGCTGGAGTGGCCCCCTGCTGGAGTGGCCCTTGCTGGAGTGGCCCTTGCTGGAGTGGCCCTGCTGGAGTGGCCCGGGCGGCCAGGGCGCCGAGGGCGGTCTTGGCCCAATGATCCGCTGGAGGCGCGAGGCCTCCGTGATGCTGGACCATCGTGGTGGCCATGGCAAATGATGGTCAAGCACGTCACAAGCTGTTGGATATCTTGAGCCACAGCTCGACACGGGACAGTTACGACAGCAGCGTCCCTACGTAGGCTGCTCAAAGTGACACCAGCTTACGAGAGTTCAGAAGCGTGGAATGTGCAGAAGCTCCACATATCTGGGCCTATAAGGGTCACTCAATGATCCAGACATCACACCGTGCAGCTGGGTGCAGCTTGGCTCGTGTTTCGTCCACGCCACATCGAGCGGTCGAGCTGGTTGCTTAGGCAAAACCTACTGGTCCTGTTCAGCACTGGAAATGCTGAGGGCTTCTGTCAGGTGAGAAGCTTGCAGCTTCGTAGAGCCATAGCACTGCTGTTCAGCAGAGCTCGGAATCTTGGAGGACAAAACATCTTATCTCGCCACCCATGTCAAAAGAACAGGTCTGTTTGACCTCGGGCGTGATACATGTGACCGCCAACAAGCCATACTTGCAAAAACTGCCTCCCGCATCTACCAATGTCTCATGCAAGGTTGCATGGACAAGCATGGTTGCGTGGATGAAAACTATGCAAGCACGTGCCTGGTCTTGCTCCTAGCCCAAAAGAGCTAAAGCCTAAAAACTCAACACTACTAAACCCTAGACCGAACGCCCTATAGGCCACCGCAGAAGCTGCTCTCAGCCCTTCTTCTGACCGGTGCATCTTTCGTCGTCTTGCGCCCGGCACCCTCCTCGATCATCACGAAGTCGGATTCCTGTGTCGGGTGAGGCGAATTAACACACCGAACTCCGAAACCCCAAAGCCTAAACCCTATGTAAACCTCAAACCGCAAACCAAAGTACAAACGGTGAAGAGGCCGGTGTCGGAATCTGGCGAGGCTGCCAGATTGGTTTTTTTTGGGGGCGCCCTTGGCGTTTGCAGCCAACCTTAAGCTGCAGCGCTAGGTCCCCGATCCTGGCGTCGGGATAACTGGGGCTCGTCGGTGCCGGGGTCATTTCTGATCAGCAAGGTAAAAAGAAAACGTAAGGCTTTACTGTATGCGGTGTTCAACGGCGAGCGTATCTGTGAAGAACATATGAAGTTGACCCACATAGTCGCGAGATGAACCCATCTCTCTACTACACGGCTGCCTGAAGCCCTTCCAACGACCACAATGAACCCGAAACCCGAAAAGTTAAGACGGCGGCCTGCAACGTGGATTCCGGCAGATTCAGCTTGTTCGCCTTGGCCACCTCCGAGATGAGCAGCGTGGACTGCTTCGGCGTCCTCTGTCAAGCTAAGGTGTTGCTTCTTGTGGGCGATTTAGGGTTCAGGGTTTATAGCGTTTAGGGTTGCAGGGTTTTGGGTTGTCATCCGAATCCTTTAGAAACACCGTGTGTGGGTCCTGATGTCCCTCGCATACTCAGACTGCGAACCACTGTCTGTGTGCAAGAACAAGCCCGTGCGTCTCGTAATCGATGTGCACCATTCCGAACCTTGAGTACCCGTGCCTCAGAGTAGTGTGGGAGCCTGGATTGCATCATCTACGAGGGTGGATGAGCGGCTTGTCACTCTAAACCACACTGAACCCAGAGACTACAGGAACATCAAGCGCTCTGTTCCACGTGGTTTGCAATCATTGACATGGGCATTTCCCAACATAGGAGTACCTCGAATATAACCCCAACATACTCTAATCCCCAGTATAGGACCCCGAAACTTCTGAACCCTTTCTTGTTTGCAAACCTAAGCCCTGAACCCCAATATTTAACTTAACCGAGACAGCAAGGGCACCCGAGCGCCCGCTCGAAGTTCTCCATCAGGGACCAAGCAAAGTAGCCTCGCACCTCGGCTACGTGAGGTTAGGGTTTAGGGTTTGATGGTTTAGGGTTTGCGGCTTTGGGTTTAGGGTTTAGGGTTTAGGCTTTGGGGTTTAGGGTTGAGGGCAGTTTAGGCTCCCGATCCTAAGCCTAAACCCTGAGCCCTCCCTATCCCCAACTTGAAGCCCAATAGTCCTTCGGGTTGGTGCTCCTGCTGGATGTACTCGCGCCCATTTGTTTGAGGCCCCAGGGCACCACTCCCCAGTCCCTGTCAGATCTCCCACTCCTAAGGAGCACCAAAGGGGCCCAGGAATCAAGGAACTAGGGGTTCAGGGTTTAGGGCTTGAGCACGTGTGTATGGGGAATAATAGTGAGTACTCTCCCTTGGTCTTCGTCACCAGGGTATCCTCTTCTAGACAATCATTTTGCAAGGTCCACACACCCTAAACCAGACCTATATCAATCTCCAACCTGGAATTGCAGTCGATGTGCCGTTGGTCGTCGATGAGCTCCACCTCCTGGTCATCGAAGTAGCCGCCGGCTTGCACGTTCCCCCACATTGACACTGTCTTGGCCTGCCTCTGCGATGCTTCAGGGCTTGGGGTTTGTCGGGTTTTGGGTTAAGGACCGGTCCATAGGTAGTCAAGGAGGGTTGTAAGTAAGGCTTCGGAGTGTAGGGTCAAGGAGTGAGGGCTTATCGAGGCGTTGAGGTTTAGGGGCTCGGGTTTTGGGCTTTATGCTGGTGTTCCGGATTCCGGGATGTTGGATGCCATGCGCCATTTTTTGCGGCAAAGCACTCGACTCTCCTTAGACATGAAAAGAACGGTTGTTCATGCTCCATTGGGCTTATACGAGCAGAACTAAGACACAATTCCTAAAGCCAGGTTGGCCCCTGAAACCCTCTGAGAAAATGCGCCGGAATATGATCCTCTTAAACCAAGTAAGGGCACATGTGCCGCATCCCACGGGGCTACCCAGTAAGGGAACTATAGACTACAGCAACCCTAAACCCTAAACCCTAAGCCTAAACCCTAAACCCTGCAGAGCAAGCTACCTCCAGTCAATGTCGAATGTGACGCCGACCTCTTCGCCCTACTTCGACTTCAACTCGCTCGTATCTCGTCACCTTCGTGCCCGAAGCCCACAGCGACAAACTAGATATATATGCAGAGTCCCTAAACAAACCTTACGTCCCAAAGTCTGGGCTTTCATGAGGGGTATCTTCAACTACAGGGGATCCTTGTAAGAGACAATGATAATAGAAGTGCCTAAAGTATGAGAAGCGTACTTCTGCCGCCCCTGTGGTTGATCACTTTCACCTTTGTCAACCAGCTAGTTGGCCATAGGCATGAGAAACGGAAGTCTTCCGAAGTAGTTGACGCGACCATGCTCTGAGTCTGTACACCCCTAAACCCGAGCTGCAGCGCAACATTGGAGTCTACTTGCTCTAAAAGTAGGGGGTTTTCAATGCGAAAGTCCCGTCCTGATCTTTTGGGAGACTACAAGACCCTACTCTGCTGAGCCCCAAACTAATTACGGGCTTGGAGTTTGGGCTTGAGGGGTCAGGAGGTACCTCAAACACATCCCTGACAGCACGGCCACCGCCCGCGCGTGGCTCCGGATGATGTGGTGTGCCGCGATGTAGGGCTCCGTCTCTGGCTTCTCCTTACTTGCGGAGGCTTCGAGAGCTTGGATCCCGATTTGCTTGTGAGGCCTTCGGGGGTCTGATTCGTTTTTTCACTACGCCCATCTGGCTTGCTCCGATCCCTGGCCTTAAGGCCTATAGGGCTTATAACCTAGTCCGCTTGGCCTGCACCCTTACAAGGGACCCCAGGCGTATGTGTGGCGAGTTCTCGATGAATTTGGTCCCTTTGGGTACCCTAAATAAGGGGGGGGTTCCTGAGGACCCCCAAAGAGGACCATAATGTAGAGAAATCACCATGTAGGGGCTACTTAGGTATATAGGGACTATATACGATATATACGGGTTATGTAGAGGAGTCCCTTCTTAACCCAAACTCATCAAGGAGTCGTCAGTGTGTAGGGTTGATTGAGCAACTTGGACTCGAAGACCTGAAAGAAACCACTCAAGCCCCCTCAACCCTGAACCCTAAATCCTAAACCCTAAACTTTGGTTGTTCCGAAGTGCCACCTCGCCGTTGGCGTAGCCCCAAGACAGTGGAGCACCAGGCCGCGTTGAAAGTGATCCAGGCTGTGTATGGCCCACAGTCTCGCGGAGGCCTCGCGCCTCCAGCTGGAGGCGCGAGGCCTCCGCGATACTGAAGGCCATAAACAGCCTAGATCACCTACAAAGGCAGGTGGCAGGCAGCTAGAAGAAATCGTGCTTGACATGCCGAAGGATGGTGACACAAAACACACGCTGGTGCGCATCTTTGAGCCACAGCTCGACACAGGACAGTCACGACAGCAGGACCCCCTACAGGCATTCCCGAAATGGGTTTAGGGCTGATAGGAGTTCAGAAGGGGTAGAATGCCTAGAATCTCCACACATCTTGGCACTCAATGATCCAGACTTCGCACCGTTCCGTCCACACCACATCGAGCTGTCGAGCTGGTTGCTTAGGCAAAACCTAGTAGGCCCTGTTCAGCATTGGAATGCTCCTGTTCAGCATTGGAGTGCTGAGGGCTTCTGTCAGGTGAGAAGCTTGCAGCTTTGCAGAGCTATAAGACTGCTGTTCAGCAGAGCTCGGAATCTTGAAGGACAGAACGTCGTATCTTGCCACCCATCGTCAAAAAAAACAAATCCGTAGTGCGCGCACGCGTATGCAAGAAAGAACAAGTGCATGATCTTGCTTCTGAGGCAAAACAAGCACTCATCAGGCAATGGCAGCTCGGTGGCGTTAGCTCGGTGGCGTTGGCCTAGGACAAAGATTGGAGCTCACTCATGGGATGCTTGAAGGTTCATGGGTAGCTACAAATGTTACAACTAAGGCAACCGATATTACAAAAAATGATTAATGATGGTAACCCTACTTAGGTTCATGGGTACTTCATGTACTTTCAAGAGATTTAAGTCAGGCAACCCAACCCATGTTATCAGTTGAACCTTCAGAAAGAAATGGGAGCTCAAGGGATACTTGAAGCTTCATGGGCCGTTGCACTCAGGCCTTCAGGCTCAAGGGCGCGCTTTGGAATTTAAGAGCAGTCTTGGGGTAGCCAGGCAAATGCATACAAGACAGAGCCCACAGGTGTCCTCATAA